TTTGTTCCTTACCTGAAGAGTCTATTTCACAATCGGGTTTACATGCTTTTCCTTTGTATTACCGTATTTCAATTCAGCGCTTGGATCGGGATGATTACTTTTATGCCCAAATACTTGGAACAGCAGTATGGAATCTCTGCATCGGACGCCATTTTCTACATAGGTAAACTGAATAGATGTGTGTGACAATGAGGGGTGGCTGAGTGTGAGTGTCAACACGGGAGTCAACAAAACTGGTGAGAAGGTCTTGAAGGGAATCAAAAACCTGTGTCAGTTTTGGAAGACAGTTTTCTTTTTGCTTCTAAACTGCCACGTATTTTAGCTGGGGAAGTTGGGAGGGGGTTGTTGTTGGAGCGGTAGAAAGTTAGTCATAACAACATTCCGTACTCAAGGACTTTTGCCCACGTCTGATGCAGACTGCATGAAGATTGTATCCGGTGGAGTGTGAAGAGTTGATTGGACAATGTGATGAACTTGTGGGTGTGGGGCAGGGCTGTGAACTCTTAGTTGGGTGGGGGAAACCTGGAAGCTTTCAGATTCGGGTTTTCCCAGATGTGCCAACATGACATCTCTAATAAATTGGAACTTTGAGGAACCTTAGGCCTCAGAGCTTTATTTTGTTGGGGGTGTTCCTTGGAACCCTGATAACCTGGTTTTCGCTGTCTCTTATTCTAGGTGTCTACAATTTACCAATCATATGTGCTGGATATTTTTTTGGAGGCCTGATGATGAAGAAGTTCAAGATAAACACATATCAAGCTGCCCACATAGGGTTTTGGAGTTCCTTGATCGAATATCTCATCTATTTCTCTGCTTTTGCTATGTTCTGCAAGAACAGTTCCGTGGCTGGTTTAAGTGTCTCTTATAAAGGGTACGTACCTGATCCAACTTTTATTCCAGGTTGCTTCACAGGAGACAATAGTGTTGAGAATTTGGAGTTATCCGTCCATAACCATTTGTTCCATTCGTGAATTTGAAAAGGAACAAACCGTGTCTCCTTCAAGTACTAGAGGCTTTGACTAGAAGACCTCCCAAAGCTCCTTCCAACTCGGTTATTTTGCTAGGGTGACATGGTAGCAGTGTTCCAGTATCTAAGGGGCTCTCACAGGCTCTGTCATTCTGTTATTTATTCAGTCTGCCAGGTTTTGGCATGAAATTGAAGATGAAAAAGGCCATCCCAAAAAAGTGTCCATGTTACTGTTCTGCCCCAGCTCTGGATTCCCAAGGATTGTGACACACACCAATGGTCCTTATCAAAGTTATAACGTACCAAGAATAAACAAAGTCTGGCAAAGGTTGGCAACCAGCCCAGAAAACAAGATACGATAAAACACTCACTCTCCAAAATGCTCTGTAATAATTACACGTTGTTTCCAGCAAGAAATTACTAACTGCGTGCGACTTAAATAGGGTAAGGGAGTGGCCAATTATCCTCAAACCTTATTCTTGAGGAAACCTCCTCCTCCTGAGTAGCCACTCCTGCCTTTTGGCAGCCCTGCGTGCTCGAGCATTGAGGAGAGGCTCCTCCACTTCGCTCTCTCCGCTTGAAGGAGCCTCTGAGGTTCTGAAGGCCCAGGCTGAGTCTCTGCCTCTGGCACTACATCCTCTTCAGCCTCCTTGCTGTCTGATGCGAGCGCTGGCTGTGCAGGCTGTTGGTGCGACCCCACACCAGCCTCCTTGTCGTCGGGATCAGCCATGATCCGCGCAGGCCGCTGGCGGGCCACAACAGTTACTGCCAAAAGAACTACAAGATAGAAGAGAACATTCGTAGCTCAGTGTTGAACTGTGCTGTCCTTGGTGCTCTTTGAGCTTGGTAGTTTTCTTGCAGATATTTCTTTATCAAACTAGGTAACAGCATCAGTGCTAGAAGGGTTTTGCTTCCTTCTAGCACTGATGATGTTACCTAGTTGGGTAATGAAACATCTGCAAAACAGAGAGTACCAAGGATCTCACAGAACTGCAAGAGTATGGTTTAATTACGTTGACCATATATGGGCTGCAAAACTCCAGATGACCATTAAGTGGCAGGAAAAAAATTACATACCCATCTAGTTCTCTATGGCCATCTAGTGGTCAAGTAATTTTTTGAGGCACAGATTGCTCACCCTATGAATAAGAGAACTTGGACCTATTTTTGATAAGACATCTAGCAGACAGCTTTGCGTTAATCCTTCCCCAAATGCACAAATATCTTTTAGGAAGAATAGCCTCTTATTGTTGCTTCAGTCTACTCTCTTTTTCCCACTAGTCCTTTGGAAAGAGATAATCTCTTTACTAACTAATTTTAGCACAAATTGATGGGACGTCTACTTAGCCTTCATGCTCTATTAAATATGGTGTATGAATTTTATGAGGTGCTACAGATATCCCCAAACTTTTCCCCAGTATTTGAAGACTTCTGTTTGTCTAGTACACACTTAGAAAAAGAGCTCTTTTTTCTTATAAATTTATTTGTTTATTCTTTGTTTAAGGTGCTCTGTTGCTTGAAGGAAGCCATTGCAAATTGCATCTAAGCCAATTCATCAAATTGGTCCTATTCAAACAAATGGACTGATTACAAAGATGATATTTAGCCGGTTCGGACTGGTTCAGCCGAACTGGTAGCGGAAATCGCGGGTGGGCTCGCCCCCTTTCTGCCCCCTCCCCGCCTCCATTGTCCTATTTAGGCACATTTTGAAGCCACTTGCACGCGTGCAAGCCACGCGCATGAGCAAAGCATATGCGTGGAAGATTGTGCGCATGTGCAGAGGTTGTGCGCGCGCTCACATTTGCGAACCAGTAGGGAAAGTAAGTGAATACCACCTCTGACTGATTTGACATTCTAATTCAAGCAATCAGCATGAATTGTTGAATTGTAGACCATTCGGCTGAATCTGCCTATTCAAGTTGAAAGATCGTCTTCCACATAGTGGATCATCCAATCTGATATGGATTTGCTTAATTTCACATTATCAGTCTTTAAATCTTCATCAGAACAGATTTGATGTTGTGAAGCTGGCACTGAGCAAAGCCGCCAACCTGGTCATTTCCAAGAGGTTCTTCTCTTTTATGGCATGTGTGTTCTGGTTCAACTTTGCGTATGTTTTTCAGGATAGAAGAGCTGTCCTACACAGATGCATACTTGTATGCTGACTGTAACCGTCACTGCAATTGCTCTACAAAGACGTGGGACCCTGTTTGCGGGGAGAACGGAATTACTTATGTTTCATCCTGCCTTGCTGGATGTGGCGTATCCAATGGAACTGGGAAAAACACAGTAAGGCATACAATAGATTTCAAGGAGCCTCAACCAGGGTTGTTATTAAGCAGGTTCTGACCAGTTCTGGAGAACTGGTAGTGGAAATTTTGCATAGTTTGGAGAACCGACAAATACCACTGGCCCCGCCCACATCTATTCTCTGCCTCCTGAGTCCCAGCTGATTGGGAGGGAATGGGGATTTTGCAGTATCCTTCACCTGGAATGGGGTGGGAATGGAGATTTTGCAATATCCTTCCCCCAGGAGTGGGGAGGGAATGGGGATTTTGCAGTATCCTTCCTCTGGAGTGGGGCGGAATGGAGATTTTGCAATATCCTTCCCCCAGGAGTGGGGAGGGAATAGGAATTTTGCAGTATCCTTCCCCTGGAGTGAGGTAGGAATGGAGATTTTGCAGTATACTTCCCCTGCCATGCCCACCAAGCCACGCCCACCAAGCCACCCCACGCCCACCAAGCCATGCCCACAGAACCGGTAGTAAAAAAATTGAATTCCACCATTGGCCTGAACCCACACAAATGGCTATAGCTTAGCAGTAATGCCCTTACTTTGGATACAGTCTGCATACGAACAGGGATGGGCTTCAAAAATTTTAGCAAGGGGTTCTCTGTCCAGTTTCTGGGTGGTCGTGGCCATCGTGGGCATCGCCTAGTTGGCCTCCTGCACCACGGTGAGGGGGAGGCATTTTTCCCCTCCCCAGGCTCTGGAGGTTTTTTTCGAGCCTCCAGGAGGGCGAAAATGGCCTCCCCAGGCTCCAGAGGCCCTCTGGAGGTTGGAAACGGGCCTTCCCGAACTTCTGGTAGGCCTGTTTTTCACCCTCCCTGAGCCTCCGTGCACACCTGCACTTACCTGCATCCAAAATGGGCAGTATGGGGACTCCTGGGAGGGATGGGGCGGGGTGGGTGGAGCCATCCAGGAGTAGGATTTGGGGGTTCTCTGAACTGCACAGAATCTTAGCTAGATGTTCTCCTGAAACCCTGCGAACCTCCAGAAGCCCACCCCTGCATACAAAGTGTTTGATGCAGTTTCTGTTGACTCTAGTCAGAGCTTGGTGGACAGCCTTTAGAATATTCTTAAGATTCCCTGGGGCAAAGGTCTGATGAAGAGCAGTAACAGGGGATTCTCAAAGAGAGTGCATGTATTGGGTGAGAAAGAAAGAGAGTGGGAACTAAGAAAGTGCCAGCTGAATAGAATCACACTTGTGCTGAAGAAACTCACTTAACAACTGTCTTGCTTAGCAACAGGAATGTTGGGCTCCGCCCTGCCAGTGATGTGACTGTGTTGGTGTACTTGAGATTATAATTTATTTATTTGTTTGTTTGTCAAGAACATATCAGGTAATTTATATAATTATAAGCATGAATTGAATACATAAAATAGATACAAGTAGAGGAAACATTAGGACAGGGAGGGTAGGTACGCTGGTGCTCTTATGCACGTCCCTTACAGACCTCTTAGGAATGGGGTGAGGACAACAGTAGACAGTCTTAGGTTAAAATTTTGGGGATTTGGGGATGAAACCACAGAGTCAGGTAGTACATTCCAGGCACTGACCACTCTGTTGCTGAAGTCGTATTTTCTGCAGTTGAGTTTGGAGCGGTTCACTTTAAGTTTGTATCTATTGTTTCCTTCCTTCCTTCCTTCCTTCCTTCCTTCCTTCCTTCCTTCCTTCCTCCCTCCCTCCCTGCCTGCCTGCCTGCCTGCCTGCCTGCATTGTTGTGGTTGAAGCTGAAGCTCAGTGCCTTCCGCCATGCCCTTAAAACTTTCTTTTTTCAGCAAGCCGGGCTGGCTTAACACTTTTAAATGTTTTTAACTGGTTTGTCATTATTTTTTAATTACGGGGCCAAATTTATATATATCTTTTTAATAGTATTTTAATGTTTGTAGTTTATGTTTTTATTTGGCTGTACACCGCCCTGAGTCCTCAGAGAGAAGGGCGGTATATAAATTTGATATAATATAAAAAAATAAAAAATAAAGTAGTCATTGACAGGTAGGGCATTGTAGCAGATGATTTTATGAGCTACGCTTAGGTCAGACTGAAGCAGAGGTGGGTTTCAGCAGATTCTGACCAGTTCTGGAGAACTGGTAGCAGAAATTTTGAGTAGTTCGGAGAACCGGTAGTAAAAATTCTGACTGGCTCCTCCCCCATCTATTCTCTGCCCCCCGAGTCCCAGCTGATCAGGAGGAAATGGGGATTTTGCAGTATCCTTCCCCTGGATGGGGAGGGAATGGAGATTTTACAGTATCCTTCCCCTGCCATGCCCACGAAGCCACACCCATGAAGCCATGCCACGCCCACCAAGCCATGCCCACAGAACCGTTAGTAAAAATTTTTGAAACCCACCACTGGACTGAAGGCAGCGTAGTTCTAAGTTAATGCCACCAACGATCTCCACTGGAGATGAAAAGCAAGCTACTCACAATGCAACCTTAAATTGTTTCTGCTGATATTTTGACAGGTCCTTACAAACTGTTCCTGCATTTCAGCACCAGGATTTCTATTGGGAAATGGTTCGGCAGTGCCAGGGCAGTGCAACAGAGGGAAGACATGTGACACAATGCTGCATTACTTCTTAATTTTATCCTTAATCTGCTGTTTGATTTATTCATTTGGTGCCATGCCAGGTTACATGGTTCTCATCAGGTAAGAAAAGGGGAAGGGCAAAAAGCTAGTTTAAAAAGCTAGTCTCGGTTGACTGCAGAGGTTGGGGATGCTCCAACAGTGGCGATTTCTAAGAAGAGATTGGACAACCCTTTGTCCGGAAGGGTATAGGGTTTCCTGCTTGAGCAGGGGGTTGGACTAGAAGACCTCCAAGGTCCCTTCCAACTCTGTTATTCTTTATTTTGGATGCTGTATTCTGTGTTTATTCTATATTCTGCTCTGTGTTTGGGTTAGAAAAAATGAATCTAATGTTTTAGCCCATGGAATAAAGGTATAGTTTAGGGCATATTTTGCAAGGGTGAAATGCTCCCGGTTCGGACCGGATCGCCCGATCCGGTAGCGATGGCGGCGGGTGGTTTGGAGGTAGCTGAGCCGTGCTATCATCAGAGGCTTTTTCTTAACTTTTAAAAGCATTTTTTTCTACAACCTCTTTAGCCGAAAAAATGCTTTTAAAAGTAAAAAAAAAAAAGCCACTGATGATCGCGCAGCTGAGCTGGGATCGTCAGAGGCTTTTAAAAGCATTTTTTTCTACAACCTCATCGGCCGAAGAGGTTGTAGAAAAAAAAAATGCCTTTAAAAGCCTCTGACGATCCCAGCTGAGTTGCCTGATCGTCAGAGGCTTTTAAAAGCATTTTTTTCTGCAACCTCTTAAGGTTGTAGAAAAAATGCTTTTAAAAGTAAAAAAAAAAAAAGTTGGCCACACCCACCCAGTCACATTACCCCCCCCACCAAGCCACGCCCACAAAACTGGTAGTAACAAATTTTACATTTCACCACTGATATTTTGGCAGGTCAGTGAAAGAATCTGCCAGTTTAGGAGAAAAATGGTTTATGCGAACAATGGAGATTTTGCATGTTCCTGGTTGGTCCGTGAGCTTTTCTGCCCAGCAGTAGAAAAATGGGGAGCAGCAAAAAATAATAATAATTATGCAAGCTCAAGGATGTATTGTTCATTCTTCCAATTTCTATTCCAACTATCAACAAAAAGTGGAGTTGAATTGTGCAGGCAACTCTGTTTTTTTTTCCCAACAAACATATGAGCTGCGGTGGCACAGTGTTGCAGGCTAACTCTGCCCACAGAGCGAGGAGTTCAATCCTGACCGGCTCAAAGTTGTCTCAGTCTTCCATCCTTCTGAGGTCGGTAAAAATGAGGACCCAGATTGTTGGGGGCAAGAGGCTGACTCTGTAAACAGCTTAGAGAGGGCTGTAAAGCACTATGAGGCAGTATATATGTCTAAGAGCCCTGGTAGTGCAGCAGACTAAAGCACTGTTATTAACATCAGCTGCCTGCAATTACTGCAGGTTCGAATCTCGCCAAGGCTCAAGGTTGACTCAGCCTTCCATCCTTTCTAAGGTAGGTAAAATGAGGACCCAGATTGTGGGGGCAATAAGCTGACTTTGTATAAATATACAAAAGTATGAAGGCTATTGCTTAACGCATTGTAAGCTGCCCTGAGTCTTCAGAGAAGGGCAGCATATAAATCAAAAATTTTTTAAAAAGTGCTATTGCTATTAATATTCTGATTCATTTCTCAAAACTGCTTTTGTTCTCCAGATCCCTAAAACCTGAGGAGAAGTCATTTGGTGTTGGTCTCCACTCCCTGACAGAAAGACTTTTTGGTAAGAGAGAGCCGCGGTGGCGCAGTGGTTAGAGTGCAGTACTGCAGGCTACTTCTGCTGCCTGCCGGCTGCCTGCAATTTGGCAGTTCGAATCTCACCAGGCTCAAGGTTGATTCAGCCTTCCAGCCTTTTGAGGTGGGTAAAATGAGGATCCAGATTGTTGGGGGCAATATGCTGACTCTGTAAACTGCTCAGAGGGGGCTGTAAAAGCACTGTGAAGTGGTATATAAGTCTAAGTGCTAAGTGCTAATCTGCACTTCACAGAGGGAGTAGGTAAGAGGAAATCATAGCCCTTGGGACTAACTTGTGAAGCAATCCTACGAAAATGTCTTTTGAGATCATGCTTCAATAGGGACAGTGGAACAGCAGTCTGGAGGAGGGAGGAAGACTTCCATTATACCTTCCAACTCTTTTTTTCTGTGCTCTGTACGTACTATAAAAAGGTTAAGGTTTCCCTGTCAGTCGTGTTCAACTCTAGGACACGATGCTCATTGTCTGAAGACAATTTCCATGGTCATGTGGCCTGCCTGACTATACACCAAAGGCACACAGAACACTGTTACCTTCCCACCAAAGTGGTACCTATTAATCTACTTGCATTTGCATGCTTTCGAACTACTATGCGGGCAGGAGCTGGAACAAGTAACGGGAGCTCATCCGAGCTCGGGTCTCAAACCCAGACTGTCAACTCTTCAGCTGACAGGCTCAGTATCATTTAACCGAACAAGCCAAATCACGTCTCACAGTTAAGCTAAACCTAAGTTGTCCATTAGAAAAGATTAGATGGACAAAGCTTCTGGTCTTCTAGAAATGTGAGGATTGAATTAAAGGACTGGATAGAACTTTGGATTCAAAAGGAAGGAGGTCTTTTTTGGAGTACGTGAAAGCATTTAAATAGTATTATGGGCAAACCATACACATACCTTACCTGGGATTGTGTTATGTGATCTCTGAAAAAGATGCAGCTGTTTTGGGGAGTTGCAAACAGGTGCTGTAAAGGTCCCACATGCTCTGAAACATTCAGAGTACTGCTAATCTTATATTCAGTAGCATTCGTTATATGCTACTGTCATTTTGGATCCATGTTTCCATGTTAATGCCTTTTCATCCAGTAAGGCCTGCTTCATTCTGAACTGATAGTAAATTGTGAATCCAAAATTCATGGCCTTTGGACATGGAGATTGAAAATGGGTATTACTTTCATTCAGTGGTAGGATGCAACCGGTTTAACAACCGGTTCGGTGAGCCCGCGCTTCGCGTGCACATGCGCCTAACGAGCTTGCACGCAGCGTTCGAAATACAGCAATTTGAAGCTCAGCTGCTTAACTTCTAAGGCAGCCCCGGTAAGTAGAACAGTCGAGGCGTGGAAATCAGCTGTGTTGCGTGATCAGCTGAGCTAGAAAGAAGGAAATATAGGACAGGATAGGGCAGGGTGGGTGAGCTGATCGTCGGAACTACCGGTTCGCCCAAAGCGGACCGAACCAGCTGAATCCCACCTCTGCTTTCATTAATATACAATGAAAAGCATCCTCTTTGATGTTTTTTATTTTGTTTCTTTGGAGATTGGATGGTAGATAGTATTCAGCACAGATTACCACCTCATCGACTTTTCTGTCCCTGAACAAAAATGGAAGAGCAAGGATTTGCTTTAAGTTCTCATTGTTCTCAGTGTTGTGACCCAGGCCCAAGTAGTTAGTATTAAATGCAAACAGTTCGAAAACAAACAGATTTTATTAGAACAGCTGGGAATTAACTCATTCTCAGCGTAGTCCAAACTAAATTAAAGCAAATTCTTCAAACCACCATTCCACAGTTTATCACCGACCTTGGGATAATTAGGCAAGCTGCCAAAGGCTTTTCTTGGCAAAAGTTCAGAAGCAGAAGACGCCGATAAGAAATGAATACAGTGAAACAAGAAGCAATTCTCTCAATGTTGTTTTCCAGCAAAGAGGCCAAGAGCCGTTGCTGGTCTTTTAAGCCTTATGGGAGGGGCCAATCATCTCTTGGCCCTACTCCCGAGTCGTCCTCTTTGCTTTAGCTGCTCTTGCCTTCTGGCAGCTCTTCTCATACATGCACTAGGAACAGGCTCCTCCTGTTCCTCTGTCTCTCTACTGTCAGCCTCTGGAGGCTCCAAAGTCCATACATCACTCCCTGATAGCCCTGGCCCCATTTCTGCCTCCGACGCAGAGCCCTTATCTGGGCCTTCCCTAGCCTCCAGGTCTGGCCCATGTTCTTCCTCAGCCTCATCGCTATCCAACTCCGCTGCCAGCTCCGCAGGCTACTGGTGGACCACAACACTCAGAAAACTTAAAACAATGTGAATAACAATGCACCTTCTTTCTTCCAAATTCAGATTCAGGGCATTGAATGTTTTATTTACGTTCATAACGCTTGACATATCTGCTCTGAATTTGTAATGTCTTGATTTGGAGCGTTTGCACATCAATTTTTGACAGAAAGGAATAAGTCAATTTCTGGCCTGAGGTCACCCAGTTGGCTTTGTGCTTTAGGCAAAACTAGAACCCACAGTCTCCTGGTTTTTAGCCTGATGCCTTAAGTACTATGCTTAACTGGTTCTTGATGCTAGTAGCTCCCATCTAAAAGAAGAACTCCTGAGTCTCCGGAGAATGGCGGCATATAAATTGAATGAATGAATGAATGAATGAATGAATGAATGAATGAATGAATGAATAAATGAATAAATAAATAAATAAATAAATAAATAAATAAATAAATAAATAAATAAAAAGAATAGTGTACAAGAAGGTAGTTATATATCACAAACAGCAAAATACTTTGGTAACTGAAAAAAACTTTTCTTGTCTTTATGTCATATCCCATGTAGCTGGAATCCCATCACCAATTTATTTTGGAGCTATGATTGACAGCACATGTTTGAAATGGGGAACAAAGACATGTGGTGGAATAGGGGCATGTCGGATGTATGATACTGAGAAATACAGGTATAGCTGTTGGATTATTGTCACTGCTGTTTCATATAATCCACCTCTACTTCTGCATCTACTGTAAGCTTTCCTTTCTTTATTGAATCTAGTCTAGTCTGATTGAATCATTCTGTCAAGTCTCTCCACAGAGGCTCGCTACTTAGAAAACAAGATTCTTGCAGATTCACATTGTAGTAAGTAAGGGATTACACTGCAGAATCTTGAAAAGAGGCCCAATTTGTACTTTGGGTCTCATTTATGTAAATTTAATAAAACAAACAAACAGATATATTAGGGAAGGCTTTAAGGCGAGCATTCCTTACTGTCTTTTGATCTTCTTTCAGATGAAACATTAATTTAACAAGATGTCCACTGCTCATTTGATGTAACAAAAAAATGTCCATTCATTCTTGTTCTACAATATTTTGTAGAACAAAATATTGTTGTTCTACAACAGAACAACAGTTCAGTTGTTCTCTGAATCTTGTTCTACAGATTCAGAGAATTCCATTCAATTCTTAGTGTGATATGAAGACAAAGCAGTTACTCAAGGCCTGCTCAAACATATTATTTAGGTTGCAGTCAATTACTATTCTAGGATGTTTTTCCAAATATTGTTACCAAGCAAATTATTCCTATTGTAATCATATCATATCACAACATGCCACATCATATCAAAAGGAAATTATTGAGCTCCTTTTTCTGTATGAAGCACTCTCAATGAGTCCCTCCTTTCAACCCATCTCTCTAACCCATAAGGAAAATTTTGAATTTTATTTCTGTCTTCTTGGGTAGTTATTCTATGTAGTTATTCCATGTAGGGCTCAATTGTGGTCATAAGTCAAGGACTACCTGTACCTTATTCCACTTTAGGAGGAATCACAAATAAGTGATAGCACATATTATATCCTGTTTCCCCTAAAATAAGACCTCCCCAGAAAATAAGGCCAATCAGGCTTTTGAGCATATGTGCTAAGCCCTCCCCGAAAATAAACCATCCCCCAAAATATTTAAATGCATGCGCAGCCATTTCCTCTGGTTAAGGTTAGGGAGACAGAATTGGAAATCAGGTAAGACGGCAAGAAGAGCCCAATCTTCCTCCACGTGCCCCAAAATAATAAGACCTCCCCCAAAATAAGGCCAAGCGCTTATTTTGGGGTTCAAAAAAATATAAGACAGGGTCTTATTTTTGGGGAAACACAGTATGTTGATGGCAGCAAGATTACTTTATGTACAAAAATGGAAAGACACTTCAATCCCCACAATAATTAAATAGTTCTGTTGTTATAGAAAACGGCTGCTTTATACTATTATGTAAAAATAAAAAGTTGAGGTTTGATGTTACTATTTTATTCTACTGCATCAGAGGGAGTTGGAAGTCAATGCCTTTTTTCCCTTTTTTTCCTACACTTTTCTCTTTTCCCTCCCCTATTTTTCCTATTATTTGCTTTCGTATTTTTGTATTTTATATTGTGAACTAATAAAAGAAAAGAAAATTCTGAAGTAAAAAAAGGGAGTGGTAGCACCTATGAAAAAACAGAAACAGAATGCCAATAAAACTGAAAGCCTTTAAATGAAGTGGACTCTGTTGAGTTCTGACCTAGGCTTCCCCCAAAAGCACGAAGCAGAATCCTGGTTCCAACCAAACCCCTTTTATTAAACAAACTGTGAATTCCTCTCATTCACCTTCAGCAAAGTCTTTCAAGGGAGAATTTACAGTCACAGACCTTATCTGGCTTGAAGAGCTGCCAGGCCGATATCTTCAAAACTTGGCAGAGTCTCAGAGAGTCACAAACCAATTAGGCGAACTAATTGTCTCCTGCAAACTCCGCTCCCCTTTCGCTCCTCTTTTATTCCCTCTGGGAGGGGCCATTCATCGTCCACCTGTGGCCTTACTCCCTAGTCGACCCTTGTTCTTTAGCTGTTCCCTTCGTCTGGCAACTCTGTGCATGTGCATGCTGGGAACAGGCTCCAGCTGTTCGTCTGCCTCACTGATGTCTGACTCCAAAGGCAGCTGATAACTAGCATACGGCCTTGGCCCCCTCTCTGCCTCCGACGCAGAGCCCTCATCAGAACCTTCTCCAGACTCCAGGACTGGCCCATGTTCCTCCCCAACCTCCTCACTGTCCAAATCTGCTGCCAGCTCTGCTGGCCGCTGGCGGGCCACAACAGTTGGCTGTGAAATAGTGTTGTGGATTTAGTGACCCAAGATCGCCTTGTATTAATGCGGTTCAAATTGTCTTCCTAGATTGTTATACCTTGGATTGCCATCAGCTCTCCGTGGGGCGTCCTACATCCCATGTGTGTTTATACTCCTCATTTTAAGGAAACAGGCCAAGGATCAGAAAAGGCAGGACCTAGAATTGGAAGCCAAAGAAGAAGAAAGCGAAGAAACTGTGCAGAAGGATACGGTCACTTTTCAGAAATGTACAGATCCCCAGCAAGAGACAGCAGAAACAACAGCGAATGAAAACTCAGAGCCCCAAAAAGCCTGATGAGGAAAAAAAAAAACTGTATCCCAAAGCAATGAGGGGTAGGCTGCCTTGATGCCTTTATGTTTCTCATAACAATATTTGAGGAATACACACATTTAGTACTCCAGACAATAGCGGGCTGGTACCTAAAATAGGTACATTTCTACTGTTAAGGTTGTAAGAAATATATTAACTTCTAATACCAGGTTCTGATCTGCTGGTGTTCTGTGTGTATGTGTGCAATTCGATTATTATTATGATTATTATTTTATTCATTAAACATGAAACTCAGTCAACTGAACAGTTAAAAATGCATCACAAATACCATTGACTGGTGCTAATGGTTGATATGGGTTTCTGCCAGTGTCCTAGGTATCAACCAAGTACCAGTGGTGAAATCCAATTTTTTTTACTACTGGTTCTGTGGGCGTGGCTTGGTGGGCGTGGCAGGGGAAGGATTCTGTAAAATCTCCATTCCCCAGTGGTGGGTTGCCCCCGGTTCACACCGGTTCTATAGAACCGGTAGTAAAACCGGAGGGCGGCCCCACCCACCGACCACCGACGTCATGAAAACGCTTCTGTGCATGCACACGGCCCCGCTGTGAACCGGTAGTAAAGGTAAGTAGAACCCACCCCTGATTCCCACCCCACTCCAGGGGAAGGATACTGCAAAATCTCCATTCCCACCCCACTCTGGGGCCAGCCAGAGGTGGTATTTGCCGGTTCTCCGAACTGCTCAAAATTTCTGCTACTGGTTCTCCAGAACTGTCAGAACCTGTTGGATTTCACCAGTGGTGGTATTCAAGTAATTTAACAACTGGTTCTCTGCCCAAATGATTTCTTATTTATTTATTTATTTATTGGTTCGATTTATATGCCGCCCTTCTCCGGAAACTCAGGGCGGCTTACAATGCGTTAAGCAATAGCCTTCATACTTTTGTATATACCTGCTTAGTAGGGCTTCCCCCCCCCCAAGCGGTGTTCTTGAGCCTGGTGAGATTTGAACTTGCAGTAATTGCAGACAGCTGGTGCTACTTAACAGCACTTTAGTCTGCTGCGCCACCAAGGCTGGTTCTTCCAACAACCAGTTTGCCAAACTGCTCAGAAAGTTAACAACTGGTTCTCCCGAAGTGGTGTGAACTGGCTGAATCCCACCACTGGATTTCACCCCTGCCAAGTACCTTCTTAAGATGTACAATGTTCCGAGTAGCGCAGTTTTTTGCAGTTCCGCTGGTGTTATTGCAGGAAGCTGCAATTTCTTGATGCATTTTGTAAAATTCTCGGACATGGTACCAAGTGCCCCGATGACAATGGGTATCACTGTTACATGTTTCATCCATAACCATGTAATTTCAATGGCCAGGTCGCGATATTTCGTGATTTTTTCCAGTTCTTTTTCTTCGACTCTGGCTTCTCCTGGTACAGCGATGTCAATAAACTGTACGCTTCGACCCTCAACAACCGTGATATTTGGCATTTTATGTCCCAAATGACGATCCGTCTGTATTCGAAAGTCCCACAAGATCTTCACCATCTCAGTTTCAACAACCTTTTCCACTTTATGTTCCCATGACTTTTTGGATACAGGTAGGGTGTACTTTTTACATAATGGCCAATGGACTAATTTAGCAACTCAATCATGTCTAGCTTTGTAATCAGTTTGCACGATTTTGCTGGACTCGCATATTAAGTGCGAAACTGTTTTAACTTTGTCATTGCAAAGTCGGCAGTTTGGATTGTCAGTGATTTTTTGTATCTTCGCTTCCAGGGCATTAGTTATTATTATTATTTTTATAATAATAATAACTTTTAATAATAAATTATTATTATTATTATTATTATTATTATTATTATTATTTCTGTTTTTATTTCAAAATTTCTTCAAAGGAATGGAAGGAAATATGATGAACCCTGATGGATTTTTCCACTGTTTTAACATGGGGCTTAATTGTACAATCAGTCTCAAAATCCCACATATCCAGTCTTATCCCAGACAGGTGCTGATCAGACCCAAAATTCCATAACTTCAAATTCCTGCATTTTATTTTCAGAGACCAACTAGCATAGAAAAATGGTTTGATTCAGGTCCTTGTAAGCTAAATGACCTATAAAATCCAGATTTCTAAAAAATTGTCTACTACCCTGTTTCCCCGAAAATAAGACCTCCTCTGATAATAAGCCCAATCGGGCTTTTGAGCGCATGCGCTAAAATAAGCCTCCCCCTGAAAATAAGCCCTCCCTGAAAATATTTAAACGCAGAGATGGAAATCAGGTAAGACGGCAAGAGGAGCCCCATCTTGCTCCACGCACCCCAAAATAATAAGACCTCCCCGAAAATAAGGCCAAGCGCTTATTTTGGGGTTCAAAAAAATATAAGGGTATAGAGCAGTGATGGCTAACCTTTTTGCCATCGTGTGCCAAAAGCAAGGGGAGCGCAGGGGTGTCACACACGCGTGTGCCCACACCCATAATTTTATGCAACCTGCCCGCCTGCGCATGTGTGTGCGACACCCCTGCGCTTCCCCCACTTTTGGCATATGTTGGCACAGTGGGCATGGTAGACCCATTTTTCACTCTCCCCAGGCTCCAGGCCCTCTCTAGGAGCCTGGGGAGGGCAAAAATGGCCTCCCCCCACCGGAGGCCCTCCGAAGGCTGGAAACGGTCCATTTGCCGACTTCTGGTGGGACCGGAAAGCCCGTTTTTCATTCTCCTCAGGCTCCCGAGCTTTTCTAGGAGCCTGAGGAAGACAAAAACGGCCTTCCCCACCCACCCCCGGAGGCCCTCTGGAGGCTGGAAATGGCCCATTTGCCGACTGGTGGGCCCAGAAGGCCCGAAAATCAGTTGGCCAGCACGTGCATGTGTGCTGGAGCTGAGCTTGCGTGCCCACCAATATGGCTCCGTGTGCCACCTGTGGCACGCATGCCATCGGTTTGCCATCACGGGTATAGAGTTTACAGCCTAAGCAGAGGGTTGGACTAGAAGGCCTCCGAGATCCCTTCCAACTCTGTTATTCTGATGTAGCAACTAGAACCTAGTTCATAACCTGGATAGATTTTTTTTCTTTGGCTTTATTGTACAATTAATACCCTGTGGTACAAGTTTCATTGATGTAGTTGATTAATACTTGGCGGCAGAAAACAAGGTCTTATTTTTAAATGATCATTTACTTTATTTTTATACTCCACGTGGGCAAAGCCTACCATGCTGAATAAAGAACATTCTAACCCACTGCAGGACATTTCATTCTTCTCCCGAAACACAAGATCTGATAGTGGAATGGCAATTTAATCCTCTGAATTTACATGAACCGAAACTTGGTTCTTTGCTAGAAACTCTGGTTTCTCTTGATTTATATATAAGTCTCCCATCAAAAATTTTTTTTCCCCCATCGCCACTTGGTCTTGCCAAAGATGATTCAGCAGAAACAAGGGTTCTGGGTTTCATTATCTCATAATAGTAATGCAATCCACTTCCTCACAAACAAGAATTAAAAACCTCCTCAGCGTTTCTCTCTCGTTATTTGCTTTGTGTGCCAAGGTACCCTGGGAAACTGTGAAGGATACACTGTGTTAAGTCTCACAGCGCGGAGAAACAACTCTTTGTTATTTGAACACAATCCGATCTCTCCCCCACCCTCTGCTCCATTTCCCCCACCCCCATCCCGAAGGTTGCCAAAAATTTTGCAGCCCTTGCATGACTCTTAACGAAGCCAGGGAATGCTTCAGAGAATCTTAAGGCACCGAATGTTTGTTTAACAGTTGGAAACAATTGGTCTACTGTAGAGAATGCGAACATCAGCTGATTTCCTGCGGCCTAGACCGTCCCTAGTTTTCCCAAAATGTCAGCTTCCATCTTTCCGAGCATACATGTTTCTCCTGCAATTTGCAATGCACAGTTTGTAGTGTTTTGCGTGTTTCTCCTGCAGTTTGCGACTTTGTGCGTAAGAGAGTTGTTGCTTTAGAATAGAATAGAATAGAATAGAGTAGAGTAGAGTAGAGTAGAGTAGAGTAGAGTAGAGTAGAGTAGAGTAGAGTAGAGTAGAATAGAATAGAATAGAATAGAATTTTTTATTGGCCAAATGTGATTGGACACACAAGGAATTTGCCTTGGTGCATAGGTTCTCAGTGTACATAAAACAAAAGATACGTTCATCAAGAATCATAAGGTACAACACTTTATGATAGTCATAAGGTACAAATAAGCAATCAGGAAACAATATCAATATAAATCGTAAGGATACAGCGACAAGTTACAGTCATACAGTCATTGGTGGTAGGAGATGGGTGATAGGAACGATGAGAAGATTAATAGTAATGCAGACTTAGTGAATAGTTTGACTGTATTGAGGGAATTATTTGTTTAGCAGAGTGATGGCGTTCAGGGAAAAACTGTTCTTGTGTCTAGTTGTTCTGGTGTGCAGTGCTCTATAGCATCGTTTTGAAGGTAGGAGTTGAAATAGTTTATGTCCAGGATGCGAGGGGCCTGTAAATATTTTCACAGCCCTCTTTTTGACTCGTGCAGTATACAGGTCCTCAATGGAAGGCAGGTTGGTAGCCATTGTTTTTTCTGCAGTTCTTTACAATGTCATCCTAATTCCTTCAAATATGACAGGGGTGTCAAACTCAATTTCATTGAGGGCCGTATCAGGGTTGTGTCTGACCTTTGGGGGCCGGGGTGGGTATGGGCATGGTGGGTGTGGCCAGCTTGATGTCACTCGTGTCGGGGGTTGCGTGTGGTAGCCTAAGCGCTCTGCCAGCGAAAACAGGCTCCCGAGCCTCATTTTCGGCTGTGCCAGCCTCCTGCAACCCTCTGCACATGCGGCCACATGCGGCCCTCGCTAGTTCCATTTTTTCTGGCACAGGCATTGTGGGCCAGTCCTTTGCTGTTTCCAGGGCGGCCCCATGGGCCAGATCTAAGCATGGATCCGGCCTGCGGGCCTTGAGTTTGACACCTCTGACGTATGACATGAAGTTTGCTTGGACTTGATTTAAGGCAAGCACAACTGCACAATCCCTACACAAGGGAGGTGTATCTCTAGGTTTGGGAAAACTCTGTGATTGATTGAGATACAAGTAATAATAATAGTTTTTTTAAAAAAGATTCATCTTATTAATCATGAGGGGGTGTGATGGAGAAACATGTTTTAAAGACAAAGCAGCTTCCTGCATCCCCCCCCACCTTTGTCGATGGGCCATTAAGGCCTCA